GGGGGGGGGGGGGGGGGGGTGCAATTGCTGTAAAATTACAAATAATCATCCAATAACTACGAATAACTGAATTTCATGCAAAAGTTTCTGCAGGCATTAAAAAAATTCTTAATTCATCCTTGCACAAATTAAGGCCTTAAAAATGTCTTAAATCAGAGCAGAAAGTCATGGCATTAAAGTTTGCGTGAACTGCAATAAAAATCAATATCTTCCTCAGTATTTTTGTTTTGTTGCAAATACAAATATCCAAATAGACTTAAATCAAGATACTGTACATTTACTTGAGATCCCAATTGAAGATATGAAGTGTTGTTTTCTGAGAAACTGAACAAAATTATATGAGTTTGTTTAAATCAAGAACAAATATCTGTCAGTTGGGGTATCAGAACTTATTTTCCTTTGAATTAATTAGATTTTTCTGATATTTGTCCTTGTTTTGATCATAAATCCACTTCATTTTGATCAGTTTCACAGAAAACGAGACTTCTTGTCTTATGTCATTTTGCCTCTCAAGTAAATGTATATTGATTTAAGGATTTTTACACATTTGCACTGAAAAACAAGACAACAATTCTGAGTAAGAACATTACTTTTTGCAGTGTGATCAGAAGGTACAGTAAACGTTGTTTCCATATTCTAGTGGTTGGGAAATAAAAAGTGATTGAGATCTGTTGGAAGATGTATTTTCGAAACTTTGAAGAATTGCTTATACAAGACAACATTTAGAGAACATATTGACATATTATGTTCCATTAATTTTAATCATTAAATAAATATTCTTTACTTGGTCTTAAAAAGTCTTAAATTAACCTTCATAAAACCTGCAGAAACCCTGTGTATATAAAAAAAATAAGTAGTAGAATTAGACTAGGGAATAATGTTTGCATTTATAATTAAGGCATTTAACATATGCTCTTATCTAGAGCCATTTACCAAACCTGCTGTAATATGCATGACTTTCATGATCAACAGATGGCAAGCATGCAATTCAGAACATTTCCTGCGAGGAAAGAAGCGCAATCTAAACACAAAATGTAAAAGCAGTCTGGTTTTCCTTTTGACTAAGCCACTGTTGTCTTATTCTCAATCCCTGTGATGTGTTGCTTCCACAGACCATATATAACCAGTGTAAGACTGATAATCAGGCCCACCTGGTGGCGATCAAAACTGTCAACCATGATAACTCCTCCAACTCTTCAGTATTTCCAACACAAAGGTAAACACGTTTGCTTTGGTCTAATGAATAGCACAAGGAAGAACTAAAGCCCTGAAGTGTGTTTAAACACTGTTGTACAAATAGTGCGAAGCCTTTTATGTTGAGTTAACACTGTTAATATGGTTATACATTAACTTTTCAACAACATTCCACCTTCTCCTGACTACAGGGTCCCAAAGATTTGCCAAAAGCCTTGGAGTTACATCCCAGATGGAATTCTGCCTGTGTTTTGGAGGGTGGTGTACTGGACCTCACAGTTCCTGACATGGTGCGAGAGAAATTGTCATTCCCCTGGTTCTTCACAATTAAGTGCAACAGTAGGGTTCTGTTAACAGAACTACCATGAGCTCTGATATTGCTAAATGATGTTTTAAACCACAGTAGTAAGATTAGATGCCATATTGAATTTAACACGGATGAAAACAAGGCTGTGAAGGGTAGACTAATGGTCTTTACGATGGCACGCACTGTATAAAGATCCTAGATCATATCATTTTCGCCAACTCACAACTTTTATTTTTTTCTGGAAGACATTTCATCAGTTGAACAATCGGTATGTTCTTTAACAACAGTACTATCGACTGAACGCATTTCTGTGCCTCACAGCCTCTTTTTTTTCTTTTTAGTCCAGTCAAAAATTAAATGTGGCGCTACTCTGACTAAGGTCTGCAAATTTTTTCACTTATTAAAAAGTAATTAATTGGAAATGGACATTACACCTAATTAGCTCAGCAGTGAATGCTAAATCCATTAAAGCATCGCAAATCATGCAATTAAGTATACAACTTAATATATACAATATTTATATATATTTAAATATTTTGCAGAAAATTTATTGCAAAAAAATTTTGCATTTTTATTATTATTTTTTAAGCCTACAATTATTAATTTAGTATTGCAATAGAATTTTGTTTCAAGGCTTCATGGAATAGTTCATCCTCCTATAAAATAATAAAAAAAAAAAATTGTATTTGTATTTAACCGGGAAGGTCCCATTGAAATACAACTCCACTACTGACAGTCTAGCATTAGTGACATGAAATCATTTCTGTTTTATGCCACTTTTTGTAATTACAAATTCAATGAGAGTTTTTGCTTTTACTGAATTGTAAATGATTTGAGAATGTCTTGTTTCCATGTGCGCAGGCTCTTGATTCCCTTCATGCAGTCATATGCACGTTCAGGAGGTTTCTCCATCTCAGGAAAGATAAAAACGGCTCTTATAGAAAACGCCATTTATTACGGCACATACCTGCTTATCTTCTGCTCCCTGCTCATCTACGTCGCCGTCACTCCGAAGTTGCATCTCTCCTGGTCTGTGTCCCGCCCTCATCTTTCGCTCTTCAAACAATCACAACACTCCTTTCATTTGTAGACCAATGCACATCTAACTTTTTTTACTCAAATGTGTTTTAAGGTCTGGCTTGCGGACGATCGGCATTACCGCCGCCAACACCTGGGGCTTGTTCCTGCTGGTGTTGTTGCTGGGATACGGCCTGGTGGAAATCCCGCGCACCTATTGGAGGGCATCGTGCCACGGGCAGCTGCTGGCAAAGACGTACTTTAAAGCAGCAAAACTGATGACGGAAAAAGCAGATGCCGAGGAAAACCTGGAAGACGTCATGGAGGTAAGAGATCATCGATTCTTTGATCAAAGTTCATGCATTATCTTATCAGTGCATACGTAATGTGTCCACACTTTTACAGGATGTCAGAACAGTCAATGAGACGATCAAATACAATCATCCTCTACGCAAATGCATTGACACTATTCTGAAAAAGGTAAGTTTAATGTAATCTACATCCTACTGACTGTGCATGTGTAAATATGGCGCATTAACACCCCCACGTCTTTGTCAGTGTCCTGTAGAATACCAAGAAAAGATGGGCAGGAACATGGACGATTATGAGGACTTCGATGACAAAGGAAACCCTTATCCTAGTAAAAAGAGTTTAGTCAAATTACATAAACAGGTAATAAAATCACTACAGCTATATAGAATGTTAATATAAATAATAATATATATAAAGCATATTCACTGACTAATGCATTTATAATAAATATTATTTAAAATTTAAATTTTTTAATTTAATTTAAAATGTATCATTTGAAAATTTAAATGTAATTATAAAATATAGTAAAAGACAATTTTATATAATTATAATATATAGTTATTATATTAATATCATTTAATATAAATAATTGATTTGTACTAAACATATACTTTTTAAAAATAAACAATTATTTGTATTAAAGTGCCCCTATTATGGATAATGAAAGGTTCATATTTTGGTTTTGGGAGTCCCCAACAACAGGTTGACATGCAAGGTCAAAAAAACGTTTTCATTGTCTTATAATATGCATTTATTTTTACCTTACTTGCTCAACGACTCCCAAACGATTCGCTCAACGATTCATTTTTCCAAACCCCTCCTTTGCGTGACGCTAATCTGCAGTGATTGGTCAGATTGGCCTCATTTTCATTTCATCACGTCTGTAATGCCTGATAAAGCGTTTGTGAGCGCAGTGCTGCTTTGTGTACAGCGTTACCGAGAAACCGCTATTATTACCGCTCCAAAAGCGGCACCTAGTGGCAAAGAATGAATTTGCATTTTCATTCAGACCAATGCTAAAAGACCAACAAGTGGGTGGGCAATATGCTAATGTTTCATGTTGACTTCAAGATGAAACGTCTTGGGATTCGTTTAAAAACGACTCGTTTCAATGATTCAGAGTGGACTCTTTCTTTTGAGAGACAATAACTTTATACACGGAGCACTTTCAGATTTAAAACTTTGCAGGATGTTTTCATTCACTTAGAGCTGTGTTACACACTGCATGAAAGGTAATTTTCAAAAATACATAATAGGGGCACTTTAAAATTATATCATGATTGACTTGTATTGTAATTGCATAGTAATAATATCTCCTGTCAGGTGATCTATGCTGTTCAGAGGCATAACCGTACACAAGTTCAGTGGCAGATTCTATTGGACAAGGCTTTTCACTTAGAGGACGTGGCCAAAAATGAGAGCAGCTCCACCCACAAGTTCGTTCACAGCTTCCCTTCTGCTGAACCGCCTGGGTGGATCAGCAAGTACCTGTACACGCCCACTGTGGGTGAGAAAACCTGTGAATACATTTCTGTTCTTAATACAATAACACCTTTAAAGCACGAGGGCCTGTTAACAATGAGCGCGCATACAAAGAAGACTTTAAAACAATGCATTCCTGTTGACCCATTCACACCCATTTTTGTCTTTTTTTAATGCCTAGAAAAAGTGCTTTATTATGAAAAGGTCTTTAGGAGAGCATTGTTTCAATTTAAAATGTTTTTCACCCTTGTTTTCAGTGTGGGTGAGAAATACACCTGTATTCCAGCAGTTAAGTGTCATAAGTATATCAGTCATGTATATCTGTGCACCAGGACTAACTGGAACCCATTTTTAAAGCTCAAAAAAAAAAATTCTATGCAAGCATATGAATGCAAACACTTTAATTTTATGTGCTGTTCTGAAATGTGTCCAAAATAAATTTTTAATGGAAAGCGAATGCACATTCTCAGTGTTGTCACAAGGGCTGCTATTACAAACGTTATCACAAACTTTCTTCTACAGTCAGTGTTCTCTTTCAGATCAAATATTAACATGTTGAAAAAACATTTAGGCTTTTCCAGGCCTGTAAATCACAATTTTACATTTTCAAAAATGAAAATTCTGTCACAATTTATTCACCTTCAAGTTGTTCCAAACCTGTATGAGTTACTTTGTTCTGTTGAACATAAAAGAAGATATTGAAGAATGTTAGTAACCAAACAGTTGCCGGTAGCCATTGACTTCCATAGTAGGGGAAAAAAATTAAGACTTTCACCGCTATTTATTTGTGTTTGCTCACTTCAATCTTGTCCAATCTTTTCTTCAACCCATGTTTTACTTAGGTGGCTTCATTAAACAAAGAGTTTGTATTAAACCAGACTGTTGCACAAAAACACACAAGTCTAGTGAGATTGCAACATTTGTGGAACAGTCTTTTGCCGAATGCTGACAGAAATACCAATAGTTTTATCATCAAATGTCAAGCCACTTTGAAAAGACTCTGGAATGGTTGCTTCATTTCAGCACACACGACTTATGTCACCTACCCGTGACCTTACAACACAAAGAGAAGAAGTTGGTTGTCTGGTCGAGGCCATTTTTTTAAGAATGGATGTCAATGGAGGAGAGGCTTCACTACGCAGAATAAACTGCTTTTGTGGGAAAACAGCTTATCGTTTAATGAATCAACAGCCTATATAATATGTTCAACACGTTTACAATTAAACATTCATTTTGGATTGATCTGTTTTTTTTTTTGAAAAGTTATGTTTTTTTAAGACACAGTCACAGACATTTTTGCGACAGGTAGGATTCAGTTTATGGTACTTCTCATTCATTTCCATGGCATCCGCCAATGGTATTTGACTGTTGCACAACTGACAGAATTCAATGAAGTTAGGGCTGTGATGTGATTGGTTATCAGGGCCCAAGTTGGCTGTTACACTTTTTTTCAATGGTAGAGCTTGCTATCTCCCAATAATAAGACCATCTCTGGATGGAAGTCTGTGGGATTTTTGCCTCTTTTGTCATCCAGCGTCTCGTCAACAAGCCAGACAATTTGAGGTGTCAATAATGTCTGAAGCACAAACATTGCACAGTTGTATATTTAGCGTTTGAGGTTTGTTCAAATCACTAACCTTGAGTAATAAATGTTGTAAATAAGCAGTTTGAATATGTCGTAACCTCGTGCATCTCTCTCTGTGTCCTGTAGAGTGGTACTGGGAGTGTGTTTTCCGCCGGTGGTGTTATCGCGTGCTGGCTGTGGTTTTGTGCGTGTTCTCTGCAGCCGTGGTCTGGTCTGAATGCACCTTCTTCAGCACACAGCCCGTTCTGTCTCTCTTCGCCGTCTTCATCCAGCTCGCAGAGAGAGACTACAACTATGTTTACATAGAGGTGAGGAAACACAAGTGCAATTACACACATGTACTGGAGAAGGCTGCATATGGCCAATCAGAAAACTGCATACTGCCGTTAACACAGCTAAAGGCTGAAGCCAGGGTCCAAAATTAACACCAAGATGAAAATTTATATACATATACAATTACAATGAACAGCCATCCAATGCAGTTAACAGTGTTTGTAGCAAGAGCTTATTTGCAACACTAGTCTCTAGAAAGGCTTTAATAAACTACAAAAATAAAACCCTAAAACATACTGAAACTGTAAAAAAGTGCTATATAAATAAATGAAATTTTAGGCATTCTAGATCAAATTTGGATACTAATTATCCATCGAGGTAAAAGTTTGAAGAAAAGCTGGGGCCTGTACCATGAAGCCGGTTTAGCTGGCTAGCCAGGTAAGTTTCAGTTTAGTTTGCACCAATCCTGGGTTTTAAGTACCATGAAAGTGGCTTGGCTTTTAGTAGTGTTCATCACCATAGTAACTTACATTCCACAGCTAACCTGCTCCGGGGCAGGTTATGTTCTGGTTTAGAAAAGATTGGAAAATTGACCAATCAGCTTCAAGCAAAGTGACACATGTCTGACACAATAAAGCCACTCCCCCAGTATCTCTTGCTCCAAATTAAAGGACGCTATATAGTAAAACATTTTTAAAGATAAAATTGTCTGATTTTTAGAGATGATTATTTTTTTTATAATTATTTGATATGATTTATATAATTATTATACCCTTAATCTGTTACACAAGCTAGCTTAGTTCAATAGTAATTAAGATTTTATTTTAAATTAATATAAACATATAGATAATATGCGATATAAATAAGTTTTAGAATCAATAGCTTTAAACATGACTATATATGATGTTTTCTTTAGGTTTCCCTCTTTCATGGATAGATCGTTTCATCTTGTAAATGTGTTTAAATTCTTCATATTGTTCAAACTTTTAATCTTTGGTAGTGAATCGCACTGACTCTCTCACGAGAAGTGAATCACAGTTTCAAGGCATGTGATTGGCTGTTCATTACTGATGTCACTCTTTCGTGTGCACGTGCCCCATTACCTCAGGATCAAGCCTGAGTTGACAGAGAAAGTTGATGATCAGCTTCATGGTACCAGCAAAGCCAGATTGGACTGGTTTGGTTTTGTCAACTCAAAACTAATCCTGTAACCCTGAGTTTGTTCAGCCACCATCATGGTACAGGCCCCAGGTTTTTACTTGAACTTGGTGATTTGCGCGTATTAATTTCTGTACTTAATCTCAAACTGAAACTTTGTTTGTAAACCATTTTACTTTCATAATAACTCATTTGATCTAATCGCAACAGGCCTGTAAATGATCACTGGGGCTGGATGATATTTGTGTTTTTTTCCCAGCTTTTTATTCAAAGTTTAGTTTCAAAACTTTGATCTGAAATTGTTTTTAAAAAAAATGGTTTTCCAATAAGAATATAATTGTACTTTTATGCTTCTAAAATTTACATACATATATTTATATGTGTGTGTGTGTGTGTGTGCTATGAAGAAAGGTTTTGATCCACTTCAAATGTTGACTACTATATATATATATATATATAAATTTGAAAAAAAAAATTATATTAAATATATAATGTATGAAATATATAATATTATTTTAATTATTACAAATAGTATATTATATAATTATATAAAATTATATATATATGAAATGTTCGCAAACCATTTTACTAAGTGAATCAGAAACAGAATTCAACAATAAAAAACATGTTAACAACAGGACTATTGGGAATTAATGGTAAAATATGACTTGGGGTTAAAAAACTGAAACCTGTGCATTGTTATTTTGTCTTTGTCCACTAGATGGCGTGTTTTGTCACCATATTTTTCTTGTGTTACTGCGTGTACTCCACTGTGTTCCGGATCCGAGTCTTTAACTACTATTATCTGGCCCCACACCACCAGACGGATGCCTACAGTCTGCAGTTCAGCGGCATGTACGAAACACCATGTGACTCTTACAAAAAAAATCTGCGGCTTGTTTTGATTAGTTGCTGTATCAGTAATCCTCATATAATTCTGATTGCTGTGCAGGTTGTTTTGTCGTTTGACCCCTCCGCTGTGTCTGAACTTTCTGGGTGTGATTCACATGGATTCCACCATCTCCCATCAGACGAGACAGCCGACAGCGTACACTTCAGTAAGTCACACACCACCCTCACGGAAAAAATATGATCACATTTCTGTAAAATTAGCATCAGTAAGTAATGCACCAATAAGGATTAAATTAAGCAACATTTAGAACTAATCAAGCATTGAAAAAGCTGTGTTGCACCACTTAATTTTAAACACAGATGAACAAAGATTAGAATTCTAACCTGTGATTAAAACCTTCATGTACAGGTCAATTTAATTGTAGGCTATTTTTATTATTATTATTATTATTTAAACCTCCTCACCTGCAATTTTAAAGTTAATCTCTAGCAGATTCAAATGAAATAATGTGTAATATAGTGTAATATATCTTTAAGAAAATGAATTGGCCACCCAAAAGACAATAGTGTTATTATTTAGTTCAAGTCAGTTCAGTTAATTTCAATAACTGTGTAAAGTTCATCAGTTGTGATATAAAAAAGTTTATTCAGCATATCACCCAGCTGTACTGATTCTTATGGCCACATAATCTCTCTCTATCTCTTTGTGTTAGATAATGGGATCCATGCAGGTTCTCTCATTTATCGCAAATGGATTTTATATTTATTATCCTATGCTCATCGTTTTGCTCTGCATTGCAACTTACTTCAGGTGAGATTTCACTCCAACACAGATTCTCACAAAGTTGGCTTTTATATAATATAGAGACTGTTGTTGGCAGGCTGTTAGCTCTTTGTTTTTGCTCTTGTTGTTCTAGTCTGGGCACACGCTGTCTGAATTTGCTGGGCTTTCAGCAGTTCGTGGGTGAGAATGATCTGACCTCTGACCTGGTGGACGAAGGACGGGAACTCATCCGGAGAGGTACTACAGACACCGGCCCTTCATTCAAACTCTCATCAGTTCTATGTTAATACATTTTAATCATTGATAAGATCATTTTAGCAGATATACACTTAAAATTACATTAAATGTTTTGTCAATTATTTGATCTAATTGTAACATTCCTAAGAATGACTGTAAATTATTTCTAGGACTGGATAATATTGCTGAATTACATATGTCAGCATTTTTCAGTCTTTTATTCAAAGTATATCTTCATATATTCATTGGATCTGAAATGGCAACAATTTTTTTTTTTTCAGAATATCATTTAAAATTGATTAATATATTTATTTTGTAATTAACAATGTTTTTAGTATATATACACGTATAGAAGGCCTTAAATGATTATTTATTCTTTTACTCATTTATTCATGTTTCCTGTTGTCAGTAAATAAAATATAACTGTTTCATTAACTTGTGCATTAATTCATTATTTGACTGAAAATTGAGATGTATTCACCTTGGCTGTGTTTGTCTAGTGTGTAGTCATGCATAGCTATGGTATATGACAAAAACAATTTTGCTTGTTTTACTATATATATATATATATATATATATGTATACACACACATACACACTCTACTAATATATATATATATATATATATATTTAATTATTATTTTTTTTTAATATATATAATTTTATTATTACTTAACTGACATTATTGGCAAAAAATGAATTAAATTTGAGCAGATATACACTTAAACAGCTACTATTGCACACTTTACTGTCACATATTATGCATGACTTTTTAAGGTTTTGACGTAAATGAAAGGTTACTAGCTATTTAAAAAACCTCTTCAGTCATGCCCTACCACATTTCAATGGTGCTACATCACATGTTCATCTTACAGTTGCTCTAAAAGTTGCTCTTGTTTTCAGAAAGAAGAAAACGGCAGAGAACAGAGGACGGAGAGAGCAGACGGAGAGTGAGTTTGTTTCTGGCTAAACTGCCTCAAAACTATTGATGAGAATAGATGCACTTATGTAATCACTGATGCCTGTCTGAACCCTGTTCATCACGTCTCTGTCTGTCAGGAATGGAGGGAACGCTATAGTGAACAGAGGGAAAGATACGGCGGGAGAAACAGAAGTGCGTACTCGGAGCTGAAGGAGACGGACGGCTCCGGCACAGACACTGGCAGAGGTGAAGAGGATTCACACGGTCACAAAACACTCCTGCAAAACGCTTTGAGCAATAATTGAGCTCTTGGTCAGATGTGATGAAGAGCATTGAGTTCAAACACAGTTAATATTCAGTAATATTATTGATTTAACTGCACTGACACTGATAGATGAGAGCAAAATTTTAACAGAATTGAGCTGACACTAACAACATTGACACTGTTATAAACCGAATTGAATCAACATTGAACTGACTTGAGCTGAATAAAGGCACTATTGTCTTCAGTAGAGCTACTTATAGATGAATTGAAGTGGTTTCATGATTGACTTATCTTAGAGCTGATATTACTTTAATAATTGATTAATTTTACACTATTAACACTGTTGTTTTCCTGTTTATTAACGTGAATCTGCTTTGAAACCATCTGTATTGTATAAAGCGCTATATAAATGAATGTGACTTGACTTGTGTGTGTGCAGCTCAGTCCCGGAGAGATCGAAGCGACAAAGCCGAGTTACTACAGGATGTTGAACCGTTAGACTTCACTGGAGAAGAACCGCTGGAAACAGATAACAGGAGGTCTGTATCTTTATATCTATAAGATAATTGCATTACTGTCAGTTAATATTATTTAATTTTTATTTTGTTCTTTAATTCATACCAGTCTTCTTACCCAAGTACAAGAGAAAGAAAGGATGGTGCCAACAGTTTTGATTTTTTTTTCTTAAAATTTGAATTACATCATATTTACACACGTGTGTGTATATATATATATATATATATATATATATATATGCACTCTTTTAATATTTACTGCATAATTAATTAACACAGGTAAATACATTTTGTGATGAATTAGTTATGTGTAAATACAGTAGACGTTTCTTCAGACATTACTGATCCAGTGTTAACTGACGATAAATATTGCATTTACATGTATTTACTTAGCAGAAGCTACCTGTATATAAAAATGATTAAGGAATAAGTTAAAGGGAACACAATATGTCAATATGGTCTCTAAATATAAATGTCAAAGTGAACACAATGAGTTGTATTAGCAGCACTTTAAAGTTTAAAAATACAACTTCCAACCAATCTCCATTACTTTTTAATTCGTTTAACAAAAACAAAACAAAAAAACAGCTAGAAAAAAAACTAGACTATAGAAATAACTTTGTAGTACCTTCTAATCACAGTGCACAAAATTATGTTCTTCCTCAGTATTTTTGTCATTTTTCAGTGCAAATGTTTAAAAATACTTGAATCAAGATAGATGCAACTATGATATATGATAAGAGGTCTTGTTTTCTGAGAAATAGATCAAAATGGAGTGAATTTACGAAAGTTCAAATATCTGCCAATGGGCTCAGAAAAATCAGCTTAATTCAAACGGTAAAACAAGTCCTAGCTTATTGACAGATATTTGTTCTTGTTTTAAGCGTAAACTCACTTAAACTCACTTCATTTTGTTCAGTTTCTCAAAATTTCTTCATATCATCATTTTGCATCTCAAGTAAATGTACTGTATCTTGATTTAAGGATGTTTAGGTATTTGTATTGGAAACCAAGACAAAAAAACTGACAAATATATTCATTTTTGCAATGAATGCAACATTTAATGCCATGACTTTATAAATGTAAGACTTTCTGCTCTAATTTAAGACCCGCAGAAACCTTGGAATAAAAAGAAACCTTTTGGAAATTAGGCTGGAAATTTTCCAGGTTTACATTGGACTTGTGTCTCTGCAGGTCCGCTGGAGGACATTACCTCTCGACCTCTGCATCTCGCGCACGCATCTTTGATGATGTTTAAGAACAAGGAGAACGATGAAGGGAAACTGTTTGCACTTTTTAATCTTCACACTCTTCCTGAAGTGTCCAGTGAGGGTCTGCAGCTTCAGCGCATAAAGTGTTTTGTGTGTGTGTGTTGTCCTTACCTTCCATTGCCCCTTTATTTACTTCCAGATGAAGCCAAAACAGCAAGCACCACATTCACAGCTGTAGTTCAGTGAAGGTGCTGCATCTTCAGAGCAGCGATGGTTGGTTTTCATGTAGAGGATCATTATCATGTGGCTGAAAAGGGAAAGAAAAGGGTCACGTTAGTTTTCGTTAGAAGTCTAATTTGAAGTTTAAAGATTTTTTTAAAGATTGTATTTACTGAATGCATGAAGAAGGGATTTTTTTGGTCACCCAGATTTATGAGGTCTCACTGGGTCCTGACCTGTGTGCCCTGCTTTGACCTCTGACCTTTCACCCTACTGTTTATGACCAGTAAATGACCTACAGGAAATACTTTTGTTTGACTATTTTGTTTAATCATTCATTATTTAACAGATCAGACTTTAAAGTTACAGGCGAGATGATTCATAATGTTTCATTTTGGCTATTCAGCTCTTGTATTGTACTGTAAACTTCAAATCTCTTTGATCAAACGGTGAAAGATGTCTGAATGCATATAACATCAATACTGTTTTGCTTTTTAATTTATGTTCTATTTATTATGATTGTCCCTGAATTAATATTAAATAACTGCTTAGTGCTACTAACATGTTGAAGGATGATTTGAGCTTTTTTGGGGGGTTGACACACATCTGTAGCAGCTGTTTTAATTCTTTTCTGTTTTGTGTTCTTGTTTGTTTTCATTTCCTCAATACCTCAAATAAAAATTCCTGAGATCTTAATTATATTTCTGTACAGTTGTGTACAACGGAGTGAGACAAAAAAAAAGGTCTTGACATTCAATGCTACTCAGTGACAGATTTGGCTGTTCACACCAACCATAACTGAGAGTTTGAACTGAAGAAAAAGGATACAGGTCTGTCTTCTGTTTTTTGGCATTTTTTCTTCTTGATTAAAAAAAAAAAAATGAAGGTAAATCGCTAACTTAGACAAACACTGGCAAAATAATCAGTAGAGAATATTGCAAAATTTAAAAAAATCTTTAGAAGTAGAAAGAGCAGAGATCATTTTTATGGTATGGACCATAAAACCACACACTACTTAAAAACAGTAAGTCAAATACAGAAAAATATGAGGTATGCAATGTAGAACATTTAAACGTTGAAAGACATGAAGTGAAAGTGTTATTAAAACTGGAGGGGAAATTAAGGTTAGCCTACTAAACAATGATACAAAGTTTTATAAATAGCTAAATAATATGTGTTGCATTACTTTTCGAAAAGAAACCGGACTGGACAGGAGACTGTAATATCCTGCTGAAAACCAGAAAAAAAAAGTTTGTGAATTTTGTTGTTGTTGTTGTTTATGTCATTAGTTGGAGCATAAGAAACAAATGTAGAGAAATCAGTTTTGAAAAAAAAAATATTTTATTCATATTTTATTCTATGTCCTTTGTAGAGGATGCCAGGACGAAGTTATTGAAAAAAATAATATATAGACATGAATAGGCATGTATAGGCAAAAAGTTGTATTTTTTTTTACCAGTGAGTTTTTAGGTTTCAGGCTATTTTTAGCCAAACTTTGTACAAAGATGATTCTCAACTATGTTATGAAAGCTATAACAGAATGATTTGATATACTACTGTACTTTATGGTATATGTGTGTAAAATGTCCATGGTATTCCCATTCTCTACAATGTATCTATACACTGCATCTAATTTGCATAATAATGTGTTCTTGGGGCAAACCATAATGAGAAAACAAGTGTAATAATGAGAGTAATAACTTAGCAACAGAATATCTCATATTTCATAGGAATATTGATCTATAATTTATTTCCCTATTGACTTGTTGTGTTTCTCCAAAATCCCTGATTAACTTGCTGTTTGTCCTGGTGTCCTCTACAGAAGACATGGAGGAAAATTATGCCCCGTTTCATAACAAAAAGCCATATTCCGATTTGAAACCCCATAACATTTTTCTGAGATGTTTGTTTACGACAAGCAATTGGAAAATTGGCCAGATTGAAATGATAATTACAAAACATTATCATATTTCCCTAAAAGAGTGCTAGATTTGATCATTCTGTCAATGTCAGTCATATTTAAAGACCAAGGAGAGGGAGTGTTTATGATCAAACCTCCCAACATTTGATATCCTTAAAAAGCCCTGAATGTGCTCTGAACAGGACACCCAGACTTCAAACTGTGGCATGTAGGCTCTCAGAGAAATTCATTCAAATATAATGTCCTCAGAGGACAAAAGTCTATGCCTGGGTCGCAGGAGGATATAATGCACTGAAGAACAGCAGGTGGCAGTACTGCAACAAATCGGATGCCAACTGCCGTAAAACCCCGACGAAGAAGAAGAAGAAGCGCGCTCAGATCGTTTGAAAAACCGCGGGAAACGGACGACACGCACTTTCTCCTGCTTCGTTTAAACTTTCAACTCACATAAGGTAACATTTTAACACAAAATATATACAATATATAACATTTACAAATTCCCCCAGAGAGTTTTCTGCAGTTTCTTTCCTAATAATATATGTTTGAACATGAATAGACAAAAAAAAAATGCTGTAAATGGGAGTAAAAGCTTGTTGTGGCTGTTATCTGTGAAGAAAAGAAAGAAAGAAACTTACACCTTCGTTAAGTTATTACTCTCAGGTGTTTGGATCAGTGCTGTTTTATGTGTCTGCTGAAGAGGAGAATATTATTGGATGCACTGTATAAAAAATTGGTAAAATACCGGCAGCTGTAACTTTACCGTAAAAAAAATATATGCTATCAACATTTATTATCTGATATAATGTTAATATACCAACCTATTAAAGTACTAATATCTGTTTTGTACCAATGAAATACACTGATAACCTCCAAAAACAGGTGATGAGAAAGTCACATGATGAAAACTTTTCCACAAGCTGAGGGAAATACCAGAGGCTCTAGACTCACACGATTTGGTCGCTTTTTTTATTTGTATTTTTTACATTTACATTTAGTCATTTAGCAGATGCTTTTATTTAGCCTAACGCAGTACACGTAGCAAGGTGTGTATATATATATATATATATATTATACACACACACACAAAGAAAAACAAGTAGATAGAATAGAAAAAATAGAAAGCTAGTTTTTTTTTTGTTTTGTTTGTTTGTTTGTTTTGTAAATACAAAAAGAAGATAAATAGATAAAGTAGAATTAAAATAGAATAGAAAGTGCTAGAGTTAGAGGGT